GGGGGGGGGGATGCTGCAGTATCTCTGTGGCTGGTCCTGATGGCAAGTGACTGTGGCGGTGCTGCAGCAGCTGTAACTTTGGGAACATGTTGTTAGCTTTTAGGGAGTCTGCCTTTTCTTTGAATGGTTGCTAAGCAACTGGTTGCAAGTTGAGGACAACCTCAACTTAAAATCAGTTGGATTTTGTATTAAATTTGTATTTTGGAGAAACATTCGGACTACCATGGCTTACAATAAAAATACAGTAGAATAGAAGCAACCCAGTTAGGAAAAAAATACAAGTACATTTGCATAAAAATAAAAGAAATAAGCAGCTTAAAATCATTGTTTCATAACTTCAGAATTCCAAGACAACTAAAAAACCCAAAGCTATAACAGTAAGAATAAAAAGTGAGGAACATAATAAAAATAGTTATGACTAAGAATCACTTCTCATACTCTCTCTCGCATCCAGCCTTTGGAAACTTCTGGAAAAGTATTACTGGAGCTGCCATCTGGAGCAGTGTTTATCAAACTTGGCAACTTTGAGATGCCACCCATGGGGAATTCTGGGTGTTGAAGTTTACACACCTTAAAATTGCCAAGTGTGATAAACACATCTATAGGAAATCTGTTCCAAAGAATAGTTGTTGGAAAACAATGGCTTTTAGCTTCAGCTTCCCCCATCTCCTGAAAATGGGACACTATAAGCAATATCTAATGGGACAGCCTCCCTTTTCTTATAATTTAAAATATCTGTCCCAGCTTCACTAAGACCTATGAGGTAATTTTATTGAGTTTCTCCTCAAAGACGTTTTATTTAATGCATAACAGGCAATCTTTTCAAAGGCAAGATTTCTTTCTTCCAGGCTAGGTATGGATTACCTCTAAATTCCAGAGTGGTGAAGGAAATGTGGTTTTGGGATGAAGGGAATGTTTGGCTATATATGTCTGGAATGCTGTTTGAATGAATACACCAAGCTACGGAACTTGGGTAGATTAAAAGAGGGCTATCAAGGAAGAGAAAATAGATTTAAAAATAAAATATATCTCTGTCACAATGTATTAAAATTTAGATTGATCTTTGTAGTAAGCTTTAAAAAAATCAGTGAGATTTCTTTACTGTAAAAGCTTGTTCCCAAAACCTAGGTGCTGTTTAAGGTTTTAAAAGGATAAAGAAGCATCATTTATAGAGTATGGTTACCTCAGCTTCTCCCTCTGCTGGAAAAAGAAAAGTTCTTCTCCTTTTACAATCTGGGGGCAAAATTTGAATTGAGACTGGGAAAACCCGGGATTAATATTCCAATGTAAGTAGCTGTAGAACTGGGAACATCTGTTTAAGAAGGGGGCTTGTTTAACATTGCACTGGCTTTTGATTTATACTTCTTTGTGGTGCTAAAGTCTAATGTTATTTCTCTGACGAATTGGACATGTAACCTCAGTCTTCAACCTATCATATTGCATATGAAGATTTCAAATCTTCTCTGGGATGTTTATGTAATCTTTAATATTAATTTGAAATACCTAACCCGTCTTCTTTTTTCTCTCAGAATGAGAAACAGCATCTTGCCTGTCTAGAATATTGCATTATCCTTTGTATTCTTCCTTTCAGTCAGCTGTTTAATTGCAATCTGAACAGGCCTGTCATTTATCTTTCTCATTCACCATTTGGATTTTAAAAAAATTAAATGGGAATACATTTTAACATTTCTGTCTTTAAAATAAAATTTGGTTGTATTTTTTTCTGGTGAGATTGGTCTATCACCAATAGAAAAAGAGGAAGGGTAGATAATCCAGCTGCATGCCTATATGTAGATGTCCAGGAGGTTACATTACAGCAATTATTTTGCTTGTTTGTTTGTTTGTTTTTTTTAAAAAAATGCTTAAAAAGGCAACACTGGTTTGCGAGTCCTATTTCTCACACATACTAAAATTACACAGGGGACTCAAGATGAAATGTTGCCATTCCAAAGCAAAAGATGGGCCCACCTCTGAAAGAAAAGGTTTGAAACCTTGTACTTTTTAACCATATAGGCTCAGTTATCCACTATGGAAGCCCTTGAATCCATCTCAACTGCTATTAACAGCATGAAAGAAATTATGCAATGTTCTTGGCAGCAAAATTGAGTTTAATTGCCACTGCCTTTTCTGAGATTTTTTTAAACCAATATATCTTGTCTCAGCGCTGGTATTTTTCAAAGGCCTCGTATCAATTAGACGGGACCCTACTTAGTTTTAGAATCCAGATGACATCAGCCAGTTCTTATCATTTGCTAGAATTCAAGTTTTATACAGAACACATTAAAAGGTAGCAAATGATGGTTTTCGTTTTAAGGTCAGGAAAATGATATTTTCATCTGTAAGATACGTAATAAAGATTTTTTTTTTGCTTGCACAGTAACATCCATTTTACATTTTTGCAGTATATTGCGCATGCTGATACCAGTTACTGACCGGGTTTGTGGTAATGCTGAAGGCAAAGTGAGTCCTGTCTACTCTGCAATCTACAGTGGTCAGGAAATTTGCTTGGAACTTTTGCTTAAAGAAGGTTACAGTCCGGATGCTCAGTCTTTTCCTGTTTTTGGCTGCAAATCACCAATGTCTCTTGCTTTTCAGAAAGGGTGCGTATGTTCTTTGCAGTTATTATAGGACAAGAAAGTTATGGGAACTATAAACCTGTGGTAAGATGGGTGGCCAATAAAATTTAAGAATAAGCAACCTAGCAAACAAGGTGAATATTATGGGAGTGGTAACTGGTTTGTATTAAAGCTTTTTCAAACTTTCTGCTTTCAGATAATATTTCAACTTTAGTGTGCCTGTTAAAGTAGATGCTTGGAAATGCCTTAAAATAGCACTACACCAACATAATGGCCTCAGGACCCCTTTACATTCTTAAAAATGATGGAGGATTTCAAAGAGCTTTTTTTTATGTGGGTTATATCTTGCAATATTTATTGTGTTAGAAATAAAAACAGAGAAATGTTAAAGTTAAATGTGACATCTGTAAAGATCTCAGGGTTCCCTGGGGGTTCCCAGACCTCACTTTGAGAACCACTGCCTTAGAACATACAGCTTCACATTTCAGGAGATATCAGCCAATATGGGAAGGTGAAATAGTTTGGGAAAGCTTTTCTGCTGTTATTGATCCTTTTTATGGAACTGTTATTAAACTAAGGAATTATTGTTCTCCATATCAGATTACAATATTATTGTAACCTTGTGGAGGGCTCACATGATATAGGAAACTTGTTGACAAACTTTGAAATGCTTTTTACCTAAATGAAAGGGTAAGGAAGTAGGGCCACACAGTTGAGATATTTGTTATTTTATAAAAAAAGATAATGCATCATTTATTATACTTCCACAAGCAGTTGAAGGGAATCATAATAAAAAAACTCTGGCATCTATTGCCAGTCAAACGAATTCATGTGCAAGAGAACTGTTAATGGTTTGGTCTAATGGTTAAGGCATCAGGCTGGAAACTGGGAGACTGTGAGTTCTAGTACTGCCTTAGCCATGAAAGCCAGCTGGGTGTCCTTGGGCCAATTACCTTCTCTTAGCCCAACTCATTTCACAAGGTTGCTCTTGGGGGGACAATAGAGGAATAAGGAATATTAGATATGTTTACTTCCTTAAATTTATAAATAAAATAATAAAAGTGGGATAAAGAAATAAAAATAAAAAACAAATACATAAATATACAGTACATTATTGATTTGCAGTATAAAATATTTACATATTTATGAAATATTCCAGCAAAAATAAATTTCAAAGAGATGTCTTGAATTTATTTGATCAGTACACTTAAAACACAACATATATTTGTTAATCAAAATTAAATATTTTTGTTCAATTACTCTGGGAAAAGTTTTAAGAATTACTCAGGTTAGGCATATTTTGTTCACCAAATGTTAAATAGGCTTTTAAATGGATTTAGAATAGTGAAAAAAAAAATCCAGCAAAATAAATTGAGTTAATTACTTTGCAACCTTCATGTAATTGCTTTACTCTCTAATACTCATTATTGACTCTTCAACCTATGGTTATGTAAAAAAAATTTTTTTAATTTTCAATACTGCTTTCTCTTCTTTTAGCAGAACATTCACTCTAAACCACTAAATCGCACTTTCAGAGTTATCTAGGAATAAGCCTAGCTAAACTTAGTTGAACATATTTCTAAGCATCCAGAAATCCCAGTACTAGGTCATCTCTAGGCATATAATATCCTTGTAAAAAATCTTTAAGGGGTATTCTTCCCTTTGAACAGAATTCTTTATTTCTGTTATATATTTTTTGAAAGCTATGTCTCATGAACACTTGATATGATTTATGAAATTGAATAAAATTAATCATTTTACAGGTTTTTTTTTGCTCAAAATGGCTGTTCTTGTATTCTCTTATTTTTAAACTGCCTTTTTTAAATTTTTAAAAGGCACATTATTAAGATGCTAATATGCATTCTTCAGGGACATCCGTTGCATTTAATTTACAGAGTGGGTTAGTTGAAACATTTTTTGAACATCAAGTTGCCCATATTCTACTTTGAAATAAGAGAGCCATGTTGAAATATGTTCAAATAGATATTGCTAAGCCAGTATTTCCTGGCTATGTACTATCTTCTTCTGTAATGTGTGTTTTGCTGAAACTCTTCAGTGATAAGATAATTTGACAGTTTGTCAATAATAATTTGTGAAAAATGAGGTAGTGGGAAGACAAAATTGAGAACATTCAAGTTGCTATCTCCATCATACTATATTTTAGTATATAATGTATGATAAGGTATACAGTTGTAATGTATGATAACCACTGAACTGATCTTTGCAAGAAAGTGCTGGAAAGTGAAGAACAAGCAGACAACTGGTTTTCCATACTTACAATTCACACACTGCATTGAAGTGTAACAAGTAAACAAATCTTTTTATTTCTAGTGCTGAGAGATGAAAGCTGTTGCTTATGTAGGCAAAGCAGCATTATCTGCACAAAAGGGAAAGATTGGCAGATTCATGGAAATACCAGAGTTTCAAGAAACATAAAAAAAAACCTTAACTGCTATAAAAGAAGATGTAGAATGGGATGTTCTGAACAGGAGTCCTTCAGATTGTATTTGTTGCATTTCCTAATTGTAGCAATAGCAACTTAGTTGAGATGTAATTAATACAGCTTCTCTCTGTTTCTCTCCCTCTCTCACACATATACAAAAGCACACCATTTATAGACAAGTTTAGAAAATACTGTGAATCCACCAAAGGATTTGATAAGCCACTTTTCTTCAAATTCCTGGCCTCTACATCCATTTGGAGATCATTGTCTCCTGCCCTGCTTAGTCTGTCCTGTATAACACACCAAAGGGACTTAGTGGTTTTCAAAGTAATGTAGAGCTTTTTAGAGGGCTCTGTGTTGGAAAGATTGTTGCAGCTAGAAACTCACCTCTCAGTTCATGTTTGGCGACCTCTATGGATCGTTCGTTGAAATATTCTGCTGGACAGGTATTTGTATTCAAAGAGATCAACTAATTTCATGGATGGTGTAGAGCACATACCTAGTGCTATTTAATAAGTAGGAATTAATCAGCTATCTAGCAAATTAACTAACTAGTAGGTTACAGGTTAATTTCTGGAAAAAATGTTTGAATAAATACTGTATTGCCATTTTAAAATATGATTTGTTGCACAGTCAGCCAGATGTTCAGACTAGATTGGGCATTTTGGTCTACCTGTTGAGTCCTTTCCAATGGATAGGCAGATGTGGATATTTATTGGCACACCACTTTTTATATGTTTGTTCAGCATGTCTGAAGCAGACTACAATCACTGAATTTTAATGTGTCCAGTATTACTTTATATCCCATTGTGAGTGTCTTGAATTGGGCTAGGAAAACAATTGCGCAATTGGTTATCATATCATGACATTAATGCAGAAAGATGTACAGCTTAAGATGAAATCAACAGAATAATTAACTGCAGAGGGATTTAGTTTGGTTTTTCCATGCACAATTACGCATATTGTCACAGGATGAGAGATGCTCTGAGTAGAGCTGCCTTTTGAAATTGACTTGCTGGTGAATTTGCCAATGTCAATGATGTTCAAGTGGTGTTGCAGTTGTAATGAAATTGTACCCAAGTCACCTATTATTATTGATATCATTACATAGCTTTGCTTTGGCCACTCTTCTGTTATTTCTTATTCTGGTCGTTGTTCTTTCCAGAACTGGTCCATTTGTTTCAAATATCCTCTTGCTGGACTTGATATGTAACAATCTGTAAGAATATCTGCATTCTTTGTTTTCAATCACTGTATATTTGTGATGGGTAAGCAACTTTACTTCGAGTAACTCTGAAACTGTTGAACCTGGCTAACAGTTCGGACTTCGGTAGTCCATTTTTCACTAGATGTCCAGGAACTCCCAACTTCTGGCGTTGTCCTTGTTAACCCAGGTAATAACTGCGCCAGTATGGATGTCTGTAATTTATGTTTCACTATATTTTTTAAGGGGGAAACACTGTATATCTGACTCCTCTGATGAGACCTGCCCAGTATGCTTGAACCTCTGGCATAGTTCTCATCTTCCTCAGAGCACACAAGCCCCACAATTATGTCACGGTAGTGTCTTACTGGGGTTATCATTAAATTTATTTGCTGCCCATCTCACCACAAGGCAATTCTGAATGGCTTGCAAGGTGTAACATGTACATGTCTTGTACATTTCTTGCAGAAGTGAAATAATTCTCATTCTTCTGAAGTACGGAATCAAAATTCTTGAAATAGATTTAGGCCTCTGCCTGCTACATAGAAGATATGGTTTATTTCGGCATTTCTTGAGGAAGGATTGCAAGCTCCCATGTCAGCAGCATCTGGCAGAATTTTCAAAGTACGCGGTCAGTGCAGGACGTGACTACAGAGAATGGCTGCCCTCACTCTTGCTAGCTGGGTTTAATCCTGTGAATCTTCTATTTCATGATTGGTAAGCAAGACAATATAGGCATATAAGTATACTGTATGATTGTGTATGTGTACCGGTGTGCTGCTAAATGTTTTAAGAAACAGCTCTGCTGGCTCCATTGCTATTACTGTTAGTGGTGGAACAGCTCAGTAATGTACTAAGTGTTGAGGCTCACCTCTGCTGTGAACCAGCTCACAAAATTAAGAAAACGTATCAATTGACTCAGCAAGTTGGTTCCAGCTCACCACTATGTAAATATATTTACATACATCTCTTTGTAGGCATACAGATATACAAACATCTGTTCATTCATGCATCCATACATCTTATAGGAATTGCTTTTGTTACTCAGTATTATTGTGTGGAAATGCTATCTTGAATATAAGTGGATAATTCAGGTAGGATTTCAAATTTCAAATCCCCTTCCAAATTGGAATTCACCAATAAAACAAATTACAGAAACAAATTTATTTAGGATTATGGAATGTTGAGGCCTTAATTTGGAGTTGATACCCGAACTGTACTGACTGCCAAGCCCTTCCTAAAGTTAGAATGCATTCCTGACAATTACCAGATTTCTTTTATCCATTCATATAGCAAAAAATAAGAGATGTGTAATTTTGTTGTTACTATGATTAAAAGTTGTTTGTCAGAAATCCACAAGCTTGCAGATCAGTAAATTCTGATAGTAAGTTTTTCCCACTTCTGTCTCATATATTGTAGTGTCCTCAGTCTCATTATGTCTGGAATGTTGCATATGTTTGGATATACATACACGAAGCTTCTGTAACATGGACATATAGATCTTATCAGCTTGTGTTTGTGTGTCCATGAAGGATTTTACAAGTGTATATTCATATGTGTGTAGTAGTCACTTCAGGTGGATACCTATTATGCAATGTTCTGAATACATTATTCAGAGCCTTGTTCAATATCTGGCAGAGTAGGATTGGGCAACAAGCATGAAAAGTTTTTTTATATGTTCAGCATGTCTGAAGCAGACAGCATGTCTGGACACTATAGTGTTATAGTGTCGTACATTACTTATATGCCATTGTGAGTGTCTTGAATTGGGCTAGGAAAGCAATCAAACAGTTGGTTATCAAGACATTAATGCAGGAAGATGTACAGTTTAGGATGAAACCAACAGAATAATTAACTGCAGAGGGATTTAGTTTGGTTTTTCTATGCCCAATTAAGAGAGAAATTTAATGTAGGTAGTTAAAAAGCTTACTGGAATAGAACAACAAAAGATGAAGAAATTGAATTATGTATGTGTGATTGCATCCTGGGAGTCCAGGAGGTAGTCTCATGTTATTATCTGGGCTTGTTGCATATCAATATTACTGTTGTAACTGCAGCAAATTAATAGAATGCTCCTTTGCATTTATTGATTTATCTGCCATCTGTCTTTTTTGTGGGAAAGGTGGCTATATACATTTATCAAATAAGTAGCTTGGCATATCTTAGCATATCCTTCAAATGGTATGAAAAAAATACAGGCTTTTCTCTTAAATCCTATATCAGTCTATTCCCTCTTTCTGGGATTCTGCCACCTGACTCTGTCTGACTGCTAATACTTAGAATTCATAACCTGAGCTAAGATTTAGAACTACAAAATGGAAACTCTATGACCTAAGTAAATAATTATGGTTAAAGCTGTTGGAAGTGAACTTGCAAATTGCATGTTTTCCCCAGTGGAATAAGCCAGGTTGATAGAGAAGTTAATTCTGTGAACCAGTTTCAGCTTTCAGTGTCAAGCTCTGATAATCAGGTTTTGCATTAATACGAGTGCTGATGTAACACAACACCATAGTTAATGCTGAAAATGGGGAGCATTTGTACTACAGAGAAAATATGTGAATTAGGGCAAATAGCATTTGTTAATGATAATTATGACATGAAAGAAAATTATTTGTGCCTTAGGCCTACTGAAGAGCAAACTCGGGATAGCATTTAGCCATGATTATTATGTTAAGCTGCACCATGATTAAATGTTCTAATGGGAGTAGTGAAAAATTATAAGGGGCTTTAGGGAAGAAGCATATGATGTTGCTCAACTCCCTAGTACCGTTATTACATCTACACCTTAGAACATCAGATCTTAGAACAGGAGAAAGTTTGGAACAAAAGTAAATTATTGGAAGACAATGAGGTTGGAGGTGAATTTGAAGACCATTGTTTTGGTCCTTCGCAGTTCTGTGTCAAATTCAAACTGTTGATTCCTCAGTGAAAGCAGGTGGTCTGATTTTTTTTCCAGTGAAAAGGAAAATTGCTTTATGCTGCATTCTTAAAACTTTGAACAAATACAAAAAAAAATGAAACATATGCATATTCCTTCCCATGTAGAAAGGACCAAATATCTTCTCTTTGCTTATAAAGGGCAGAAGTCATCTTGTTGCAGAATACATTAGATTTACAGCCATTCTAAACTAATAAAAAGAGCCTTGTGTTCTGAAGCCAAATATCATCAAAGGTTACAAGAAATACAGCCCCGGTATGATTCTGTCAATTGCTTTGATCCTTTGTGGATACTCTTCACTTGCATGTATGAGAGAATGGATTGATTGATTGCAGTAGTTGAACAAAGTTAGGATTTCCAGTTGGCAATATGATTTTTTAAAATAATTTACTACATACTCTGTAAGTGGAGTACATGTATGTTTGTTATGTATTAATGTCAGGGTGGATAAAAATCAATGATTAAAAAAAAACCAAAAATCAGTTTTATTTTAATAAAATGCTTTTGGAATAAAAATCTATCTAAAGATAGTTTTCTATATAAGATACATTAATGCTTTAGTTTATTCAGCATGAAATGGAGCTTAGTTATGTAGCATGGGGCTGTATATTCTGTAATATTTACATTTATTTGTAAACTCATTCAATGAATCCAAGCTCTGCAAGCTGAGATAACATGACCTGCATTGATGCATTCACACAATTTCACAGTAACCATGGGATAAATCATAAAACAAAGTTCAGGAATATTCCTTTATCCCACTGTTTGGCAAATCTATGTATACTATAATCTGTGTGATTGTTTGGAGAGAAATTAATCTGCACCATCAGGCTCTAAGTGCGAGGAGGCAGAGCAAGCAGTAAAAATGAAAGGGAAGCCTTCTAAGCAGTTTATAAATATAATATTAAAGAGCATCTGTAATTTCAGATCCATCATGGCAGTGCTTGTTAGCGGGCATCCACTCATCTGCTGCCTGCCGCGTCCCTCACCTTGTTGTATCACTGCTGCATCACCAGCTATCCCATTAGAGAGAATGAGATTGTCAATGAGTCAACAGTGGGTCAGAGAAGGAGCCATTGCATGACAGAGATGACAGTTGCTCTTTAAAAATTAGGATTTAAATTGAGTTGATTTAAATCAAGCCTTTTTACTAGTGATTTAAATCATGATTTAAATCAACTTGATTTAAATTAAATCCACCCTGATTAATATCCAGAATGCAAGCATTATGTAGTGAAGATCTGTTACAAAGATACTCAGATTACAGGAGACCGGTATTAAATTCATTTTATTCGAATGAACAGAGTACTAGTAGAATATAATTCTATTAAGATATATTTGATATGGCATATTTCCCAGTTAAATAAAGTTTTGTATTTTAGGAGTACATCACTTAATACCCTCTAAAATGTACTACTACTCATCTTTATATTTCTTTTGTGAACTGAGAGTATTATAGGTTTAACTGAAAGATAATAATTGGCCTTAAATCACTCAGTTGGTTACATGGCTGATTAAGAATTTGAACTCTTGAACTCTTGTACCAGAAGCTGACACTATTCAATATGATACATGGGTTCTTATAGTAATTTCTTTTTGTTCACTTCTAGGATTTTCTCTGTAAGCAGTGATGCTCTGAACTTCCTGCTGGAGTTTACTAATTGGAAGAGGCTTCCCTGGAATGTGGAGCAGGTTCTTTCCAGCCACAAGGCCACTTCTATGTGGAAACCCTGTAGTTATTTTGGTAAGCAAAGAATGAGCCAGCTTATTTTTCTATGGCCTGTTTATTAATGTCTAAATAACGAATAGTTTTTTGGTCAATAATACAAGGGATTGTAGCCTTGATATACATGCTGTCAGAGAGCATAATGCTGATTTAAATATAAATGCAAATAAAGTATTAATTATTCTATTTTGAACATTTGAGCATTTGAGCTATTTTGAGCATTTAAATATAAATGCAAATAAAGTATTAATTATTCTATTTTGAACACTGTCAATACTCTTCGTCCTGCTTCTTTGAAGTCCAACTTTTTCATCCAAAGAAGATCACAGGAAAAACTTCTGCCTGTACAGTTCTGATCTTTGTTACGGCCTTTTAAAATCTTTTTCAAGGCCTTTACTGCTTTACTGCTACTCACCAAGTGTATTTCTTACAGCTGGTTCCTTAACTGTTGATAATCAATTCTATAAAACCAACTATTTTCCTGTATAATGTCTTCATTGTCAATTTTAAGGTTGGTTGCTGTGCTTATTGTATTAGTTTGGTCTTTTTTAGATTTAAGTCTTAGATTTAAGTCTCATTTTTTCAGTGGGCCTTGACTTTTGTTATTTTGTTTCATTTCAGTCCTTTATTTATTGGAGTATGTATTAGAGTAGTATCATCAGTGTAGTTCAGGCTACTGAGATTGCTTCCTCCAATTTCAAAATCATGCCCATGTTTTTCTAATCCATGCTCTCTCAACATATATTAAGCCTACGCCTGAATAAATAAGGAAAGAATATACAACTTATCTTCTGACCTGGGGACTGCTTTGCTATGGACTATGGCTTTCTTTTATTTAGGTTTTGTATGAGGATATTGAATAGTTGTGAGCTTCCTATTTTTATACTACAGCTTGATGTAATAGATGACAATCATTGAAGTACATTTTTGATAGTGCTTTACTTTCTCACTTATCCTGAAATAATTTACTTTATTGGCCTTTTCTGTGTATGTTTCCATCTTCAAGATCTAGAAGTGCGATTGTAACAATCCTTCTTAAGAGTTGTTTGGCATTCTTCTTCTCGAGATCTTGTCAAGACTTCAACTTTTCTTTTTTCAGTTTCTATCATTCTGTTTCCTAGGCCTAGAAACATTCCTGCTTCTTTCATTTCAAGTTCTCACTGTAATTCTGTTCATGCAGCTCTGCATCCTTCCCCCCGCCCTCATGACAGCACCAGCTACTAGACACTCCAAAGGATTTAATGTAGCCACATCATAAATACTATTAATATTCTGAAAAATCCTTAGTTCTTCAGTAGTATATTGACTGCAATCTGACCTAAGGGGATGATCATTTGATATTAAATATTGTCAATCACTTTATATTGTCTCCTTTTGTTGTATTTTGATAATATATAGGAGTGATTTACCTTTGCTTTTCTTAGCATGGTATGAAATGATGCCTTGTTATGGTATTTAACAATTTCCACAATTTTCCAATATTGCTGCTGCCTGATATAGGTGTCGGCTTGTTTTAGCTGAGCAACTAGGATGACCTTCAGGCTTTGAGTGATGCTGCTGGGAATATGCACTCTTGAGATTGATTCTTAGCATTCTTTGCACATTGCTCCCATGAACATACCCCTTGTCACAGTGAGGCATCCGTAGCAGCACCTTGGTGCTTTTGTGAGTTAAAAAGATACACAAAAGATAAAGCAAATGTATAGATAGTATCTCAGGGTCATCTTAATGTGCCACAAACAACCATTTATTATTACTGATGAAGCAAATGTTTTGAAAGTTGAAGGATCCTGGATTTTCTAGTTTTAAGTAGAGAGCTTATGGGAATATCTAGATTATTCCAGGCCATATGCTGAGTGGCTAGAAGGTTTCCTAAACAGTAGGTGCTAGTGTTGAGGTAGTAGTGGCATCTGTGTAACTTGGCTTTTTTTTTTTTGCAAATTAGACTTTTGAAACCAGTGTGCTGTTGTGTTTTTAATAAATGATCCTGTGGCTCTGCTTAATCCTGCTCTGGAAATAAAGGTCATCCAATTACTGCAGACAACAGTGAAGCTGCAGACTGCCTGCCAGGCAGGGAGAATAGTGCAGGTATAGTCTGCAATCATCAGTTGCTAACTAGATACCCTGGAGACTGAAATACCATCTTTTAATAATGGAAAGGTTAGGAAAGCCTCTGATCAGAAAATGTCTCTTTTCTTTTGTGTTCAAATTCAGCAAATGCATGGAGAGAGTTCTGCCTGAATGGTGCTTTAATTAATCTCACTTTATGGTCTCTATCAGCTTGCCAACCAGATCTTTTTTCTTATTTTTTTCTGCTTAAAAATCTCTTTTAAAAATTCAAACTTACGCTTGTTAGTATGGTTTGAATTGACTTCGTTTTAATATTTTCTTTTTAAATATTAGGATGCATAGCTTTCTCGGTGAACACTTACATGATTGCATTCCAAAATACATTGACTTCAAGAATTAAATGGAAGTATGATAAAATATATTTTATGCTATTAGAATTAAATACAATATTAGTCTCTAGTCATTCATTTATTAATTGCCTTTCTGTCACATTAAACATTGGAATTTAATAATACTTTTGAAGGTTTCTGGGGGCTACATAGAAGTATTTTGAACATTTTGTGGTGCATTGAAAACATAAAACATACTGCTGTGGTGTACAGCAAGAACTGGCTTGATATATTTGTTAACCCAGTGTCTTTTACCTGTTGTCATCTAAATACTGATTTGGAAAAGGTTTGTGTTTGTTGTTAGATTCTGCACAAAATAGAATTAATCTGCATTTGCTGTTGCAAAATATGATTTCCTCAAACAAATACAGATTTAGAGAACATTAATAGTTATTATTGCTAAATTTATTTGCCACCAATCTTTCCCCAAGCCATTAATTGTTTATAAATGGTTGTTAGCTACCTGAAATGCAAATTTTCCATATCCAAGTATACCTTTGAATATTACTTGTGGAAAGATAAGAGTAACCCAGGATATTTTACTCATGCACTTCTTAGAGTCCTCTAGTTAGCCCCTGTGGGAAATAAGATGCTGACATAGATAGCTTTTTGGTTTGATCCTGCAGAGTGTTTATTAAATTATGTTCTAAGGGATCCAAAGGTAAGCCTTTATAGAAGAACATAAGAGGAGATTAATGAGAACAAATATTTGAGCATATGTGAACCCATAAAACTAGCACCTTTCGCAATAAATAGTCACACCTGGAATTGAATATTGCTATCACTTTTATTTTTATTTCTTTCAGTTCCAACCTGAATTTCTCCATACTTCATCCAGGGGGGATTCATCACCACATCTTTTGTCAAATCATCACCCTTATTTTCTATCACTCTTACTTTTCCTGCTCACTTTTACTATCGCTTTCTTTATTTTAAATAACCCCAATAATATGCTAATTTGCAAAGTGAACACCCACAATTAACTATTCCCAGCTAGTTAATTCTGGAGCTAAAAAGTAATAACCTTCCCGAGCACCATTTTAGAGCACATAGCCTTCAGATACAATGCAGAGGAATCTCAGTAAAAGAAACCAAATATATGATCTTAACCAATTTATGTCTCTTGCATGGGTAATGTTCTGAAATGGGTCTCAGTTAACTGTTGCCAATATCACTCACTGTATATATACACATAAACTCCTGTGAGTCCCTTGGACTGTAAGGCAATCAAACTGGTCAGTTCCAGAGGAGATCAACCCTGNCAACAGAATAATTAACTGCAGAGGGATTTAGTTTGGTTTTTCCATGCACAATTACGCATATTGTCACAGGATGAGAGATGCTCTGAGTAGAGCTGCCTTTTGAAATTGACTTGCTGGTGAATTTGCCAATGTCAATGATGTTCAAGTGGTGTTGCAGTTGTAATGAAATTGTACCCAAGTCACCTATTATTATTGATATCATTACATAGCTTTGCTTTGGCCACTCTTCTGTTATTTCTTATTCTGGTCGTTGTTCTTTCCAGAACTGGTCCATTTGTTTCAAATATCCTCTTGCTGGACTTGATATGTAACAATCTGTAAGAATATCTGCATTCTTTGTTTTCAATCACTGTATATTTGTGATGGGTAAGCAACTTTACTTCGAGTAACTCTGAAACTGTTGAACCTGGCTAACAGTTCGGACTTCGGTAGTCCATTTTTCACTAGATGTCCAGGAACTCCCAACTTCTGGCGTTGTCCTTGTTAACCCAGGTAATAACTGCGCCAGTATGGATGTCTGTAATTTATGTTTCACTATATTTTTTAAGGGGGAAACACTGTATATCTGACTCCTCTGATGAGACCTGCCCAGTATGCTTGAACCTCTGGCATAGTTCTCATCTTCCTCAGAGCACACAAGCCCCACAATTATGTCACGGTAGTGTCTTACTGGGGTTATCATTAAATTTATTTGCTGCCCATCTCACCACAAGGCAATTCTGAATGGCTTGCAAGGTGTAACATGTACATGTCTTGTACATTTCTTGCAGAAGTGAAATAATTCTCATTCTTCTGAAGTACGGAATCAAAATTCTTGAAATAGATTTAGGCCTCTGCCTGCTACATAGAAGATATGGTTTATTTCGGCATTTCTTGAGGAAGGATTGCAAGCTCCCATGTCAGCAGCATCTGGCAGAATTTTCAAAGTACGCGGTCAGTGCAGGACGTGACTACAGAGAATGGCTGCCCTCACTCTTGCTAGCTGGGTTTAATCCTGTGAATCTTCTATTTCATGATTGGTAAGCAAGACAATATAGGCATATAAGTATACTGTATGATTGTGTATGTGTACCGGTGTGCTGCTAAATGTTTTAAGAAACAGCTCTGCTGGCTCCATTGCTATTACTGTTAGTGGTGGAACAGCTCAGTAATGTACTAAGTGTTGAGGCTCACCTCTGCTGTGAACCAGCTCACAAAATTAAGAAAACGTATCAATTGACTCAGCAAGTTGGTTCCAGCTCACCACTATGTAAATATATTTACATACATCTCTTTGTAGGCATACAGATATACAAAC